GCCAAGAGATCTTTTTGAGATGAAGCAACCACATCTGTACGCAGTATTCAAGATGTGGGAGTACATTCGTGTTACACAGAGGCAATAAGATATTTTCTGTCTTATTCTCTATTCCTTTTTCATGGCCTCTCTGTTGAGCAGTTTTGTATCATTTGCACATTTTGCCACCTCAGGCTACGTCTACACTGGCCCCTTTTCCGGAAGGGGCATGTAAATTTCATGAGTCGTAGTAGGGAAGTGCTGGTCTCCCTTCTACCTTTCCTTAAGATCATGAACTCTATTATTTCGTGATCACTGTCCCCTATACTGTCTTCCACTTTCAAGTTCTCAACTAGTTCCTCCCTATTTGTTAAAACCAAATCCAGAACAGCTTCTCCTCTGGTAGCTTTTTCAACCTTCTGAAACAGAAAGTTGTCTCCAATGCAGTCCAGAAACTTATTGGATAGCCTGTGCCTCGCTGTGTTAGTTTCCCAACATATGTCTGGATAGTTGAAGTCCCCCATCACCACCAAATCTTGGGCTTTGGCTAGTTTTGTTAATTGTTTAAAAAAGGCCTCATCCACCTCTTCCACCTGGCTAGGTGGCCTGTAGTAGACTCCTAGCATGATATCACCCTCGTTTTTTACCCCTTTTAGCTTAACCCAGAGACTCTCTACACAGCTATCTCCTACATTCATCTCCACTTCAGTCCAAGTGTGTACATTTTTAATATACAAGGCAACCCCTCCTCCCTTTTTTCCCTGTCTGTCCTTCCTGAGCAAGCCGTACCCTTCCATACCAACATTCCAATCATGCGTCCCATCCCACCAAAAAAATAATCTGGATAGATTTATATACATACAGATATATTAAGTGATTAAAAAACAATTTGAGTTGAAGATATGCAATGCCTGTAGTTCAGAGAATGAGACCATCTAGCAAATTAAATTGAAACTACTGGGCCTCAGCATCTTGGACTTCGGCACAAGAGAGCAGAAGGAGTATAAATACAGTTCATTGAGGTGCTTACACTATGAAAGGAATGTCACAGTTTTCTTGTTTTCCAAAGCAGGGGGGAGATAAGGACACAGCTCATGATTCACTGAATCATATTGTGCCTCATGGGCTGCTTCATGGGTAGTGCAACAGCAAGTTTCCCCTAAAAATGGTCTATGTCACATACTGATAGCCTAGTTTTTTATGAGCAAAGATCAAAAGAAGTGATACTAATTTGGTGTATTAGTTACTCTTTGCATGTACAAACACAAAGGCTGCGTCTAGACTGCATGATTTTGCGCAAAAGTTTTTCCGTTAAAAGTATTTGCGCAAGACATCGTCTACACTGGCATGTGCTTTTGCGCAAAAGCATCTGTGCCAGTGTAGGGGCTTTCTTGCACCAGAAATTAACGTTGCTGTCTACACTGGCTTCTTGCGCAAGAGGGCTTATCCCTGAGCGGGAGCATCAGACTATTTGCGCAAGAAGCACTGATTTTGTACAATAGAAAGTCAGTGTTCTTGCACAAATACTCTTGGCCAGTGTAGACAGGCGGCAAGATTTTGCGCAAAAGTGGCTGCTTTTGCGCAAAATCTTGCCAGTCTAAACGCACCCTAAGATACAACCGGATTTGCTCCAATCCCAAAGGCCGTGACAAACACCTACAGGATCTATACAGACCATTCTTAAAACTGAAATACCCACCTGGAGAAGTGAAAAAAGAGATTGACAGAGCCAAAAAAGTACCTAGACATGAACTACTTCAAGACAGACCCAAAAGAGAAAACAATCAAATTCCACTTGTGATTACCTTCAGTCCACAACTTAAACCCCTCAGACACATGATCAACAATCTACAACCTGTTCTGGAAAATGACCCCTCACTCTCAGAGGCCAATTCTCGCTTACAGATAACCGCCTAACGTCAAACAAATTCTTTTCAATCACCACATAACACACCTCCACCATACTCCAACAGGTTTCTGTGTTTTGTCTTTTCGCATATCTGATTTGTGTCCATTAATTCTTTCCCATAGAGACTGTCCAGTTGGCCACTATATTTTGTAGTGGGACATTGCTGGGATTTGATGGCACAGATCAGATAAGTAGATGTTAAATGAACTCTGATTTGGTGGATGTTGTGGTTGGGTCCAGTGATGAAATTGCTGGTGTAGATGTATGTGCAGCCTTGGCACCAGGGCTGATTGAAGAGGTGGGTTCCTGGATGAGTATGGACCACCTTGATTTTCATGCACACCTGCTCCTGGGTGGCCAGGCTGGCAGTTCTCCTGCCCTAGACGGCCACTTTCCTGTGTCTAGTGCGGAGGTCGTGGACGAGGTCCACGATGTCCGCACTAGACCAGGCAGGTGCCCGCCTCTTGCGGTCCCCGGCAAGCTCCCCGGAGCC